AGCGTGGTGAGAGTGGTGAGTTGGTGAGTGTGGTGAGCGTGGTGAGAGTGGTGAGTGTGGTGGCGTGGTGAGCGTGGTGAGCGTGGTGAGAGTGGTGAGTGTGGTGGCGTGGTGAGCGTGGTGAGTGTGGTGAGCGTGGTGAGTGCGGTGAGCGTGGTGAGCGTGGTGAGAGTGGTGAGCGTGGTGAGTGTGGTGAGAGTGGTGAGCGTGGTGAGTGCGGTGAGCGAGGTGAGCGTGGTGAGCGTGGTGAGAGTGGTGAGTGTGGTGAGTGCGGTGAGCGCGGTGAGTGTGGTGAGCGTGGTGAGAGTGGTGAGTGTGGTGAGTGTGGTGAGCGTGGTGAGTGTGGTGAGTGTGGTGAGCGTGGTGAGCGTGGTGAGTGTGGTGAGCGTGGTGAGCGTGGTGAGTGTGGTGAGTGCGGTGAGCGCGGTGAGCGTGGTGAGCGTGGTGAGCGTGGTGAGCGTGGTGAGTGTGGTGAGCGTGGTGAGTGTGGTGATTGTGGTGAGCTGGTGGTTGAGTGTGGTTGAGCGTGGTGAGTCTGTGGTGAGTGTGGTGAGTGTGGTGAGTGTAGAGGTAGTGGTGAGTGTGGTGAGTGTGGTGAGTGTGGTGAGCGTGGTGAGAGTGGTGAGCGTGGTGAGCGTGGTGAGCGTGGTGAGTGTGGTGAGTGCGGTGAGCGTGGTGAGTGTGGTGAGCGTGGTGAGCGTGGTGAGCGTGTGAGTGTGGTGAGTGTGGTGAGCGTGGTGAGTGTGGTGAGTGTGGTGAGCGTGGTGAGAGTGGTGAGCGTGGTGAGCGTGTGAGTGTTGGTGAGCGCGTGGTGGTGTGGCGGAGGCGTGGTGAGAGTGGTGAGTGTGGTGAGCGTGGTGGAGTGTGGTGAGTGTGGTGAGTGTGGTGAGTGTGGTGAGTGTGGTGAGTGTGGTGTGTGCGGTGAGCGTGGTGAGTGTGGTGAGCGTGGTGAGCGTGGTGAGTGTGGTGAGCGTGGTGAGTGTGGTGAGTGTGGTGAGCGTGGTGAGTGGTGAGCGTGGTGAGCGTGGTGAGCGTGGTGAGCGTGGTGAGCGTGGTGAGTGTAGTGAGTGTTGTGAGGTGGGGTGAGCGTGGTGAGTGGGTGAGCGTGGTGAGCGTGGTGAGTGTGGTGAGCGTGGTGAGCGTGGTGAGCGTGGTGAGCGTTGTGAGCGGGTGAGTGTGGTGAGCGTGGTGAGCGTGGTGAGTGTGGTGAGTCTGGTGAGTGTGGTGAGCGTGGGTGAGTGTGGTGAGCGTGGTGAGTGTGGTGAGCGTGGTGAGTGTGGTGAGTGTGGTGAGCGTGGTGAGTGTACGTGGTGAGCGTGGTGAGTGTGGTGAGCGTGGTGAGCGTGGTGAGGGCGTCCGTGTGAGCATGGTGAGTGTGGGTATTGCGGTGAGTGTGGTGAGTGTGGTGAATGTTGCTAGTGTGGTGAGCATTGCTAGTGTTGTGAGCGTGGTGAGTGTGGTGAGTGTGATGATGTGTGTGAGTGTTGTGAATGTCGCTAGTGTGGTTAGTGTGGTTAGTGTGGTGAGTGTGATGAGTGTGGTTAGTGTGGTGAATGTTGCTAGTGTGGTGAGCGTGGTGAGTGTGGTGAGTGTGATGAGTGTGGTGAGTGTGGTTAGTGTGGTGATGTGTATGCGTTGGTGATTGAGTGTGGTTAGTGTGGGGATCTTGCTAGTGTGGTGAGTGTGGGGAGTGTGGTGAGTGTGGGTATGGCGGTGAGTGTGGTTAGTGTGGTGAATGTTGCTAGGGTGGTGAGCGTTTGCTAGTGTGGTGAGCGTGGTGAGCGTGGTGAGTGTGGTGAGTGTGGTGAGTGTGGTTAGTGTGGTGAGTGTGATGAGTGTGGTTAGTGTGGTGAATGTTGCTAGTGTGGTGAGCGTGGTGAGCATGGTGAGCGTGGTGAGCGTGGTGAGCGTGGTTAGTGTGGTGAGCGTGGTGAGCGTGGTGAGCGTGGTGAGCGTGGTGAGCGTTGCTAGTGTTGGTGAGCGTGGTGAGCGTGGTGAGCGTTGCTAGTGTGGTTGGTGCAGCTCGTGTTGCGGTGGTTTGGTGTGGCTGGTGCGTTGCTGCCGGCGTGGCTGGCGTGGTGGTGCCGTGGTGGTGCCGTGACCGCTCCTCACCATCGCCTGCTCAATCTTGTTGTCGATGGCCACCACGCTGGCTCCAGAGGCACTGCACAGGACACCACACACAGAGACAGCCCCACCCCCCCTCTCAACCACGGTGCCTCCGAGATGGTAACTACCTCGCCTGGTACACAGTCTCTTGCAGGCGACACGGGGGCTCTAACCCAGGACTTCAATCTCAGTGACTTGGACACAGAGACCCAGACCCAGGGCTTGAACCCAGGACTTCAATCTCAGTGACTTGAACACAGAGACCCAGACCCAGGGCTTGAACCCAGGACTTCAATCTCAGTGACTTGGACACAGAGACCCAGACCCAGGGCTTGAACCCAGGACATCAATCTCAGTGACTTGTACACAGAGACCCAGACCCAGGGCTTGAACCCAGGTCTCAAGCTGAGTGACTTGAACACAGAGACCCAGGGCTTGAACCCAGGACTTCAATCTCAGTGACTTGAACCAGAGACCAGACCCAGGGCTTGACCCAGGACTTCAATCTCAGTGACTTGAACACAGAGACCCAGACCCAGGGCTTGAACCCAGGCCGTCAGGATCCAGTGACTTGAACACAGAGACCCAGACCCAGGGCTTGAACCCAGGTCTCAAGCTCAGTGACTTGAACACAGAGACCCAGACCCAGGGTTGAACCCAGGACTTCAATCTCAGTGACTTGGACACAGAGACCCAGACCCAGGGCTTGACCCAGGTCTCAAGCTCAGTGACTTGGACACAGAGACCAGACCCAGGGCTTGAAACCCAGGTCTCAAGCTCAGTGACTTGAACACGACACCCAGACCCAGGGCTTGAACCCAGGTCTCAAGCTCAGTGAATTTGGACACAGACACCCAGCCCAGGGCTTGAACCCAGGTCTCAAGCTCAGTGACTTGGACAAGACACCCAGACCCAGGGCTTGAACCCAGGCCGTCAGGATCGGTGTCTGCAGGAGGCTGGGGGTGTGGCCGTGGTGGGAATAGCAACAACCGCCCCTTTCCGTGGCCAATCGGTGATTCCTTACACACATACACACACGTATACACACATATACATACCCTATACACACGTATACACCCTATATACATACATATACATACCCTATATACACACACATATACATACCCTATATATACACACACACACAGACACACATATACATACCCTATACACACACACATATACATACCCTATACACACACACATATACATACCCTATACACACACACATATACATACCCTATACACACACACATATACATACCCTATACACACAAAGATAAAGATCCCCCGTATAGCCTTAACAGACTGTAGGGGCAAGTGCTGTTAGCGAGCACCTATGAAGGCCGGAACGGTACACGAGGGGGTGGGTGGCCAGCACCACGCCCGACCGCCTTTGTCTCCCCAGTGGCGATGTTTACACACCGCACCAGGTACTCATTTAAGGCTGAGTCGACCTAGGGGAGGCCCAGGACCGGTTCAGATAATCGTCACTGGTGTTAGCCGTGAGCGGGAATCGAACCCGGGTCGCCAGGTTCATAGCGCAGCGCGCTAACCGCTACACTACCGCTCCCCACTATACACACACACACATACACACACACACATACACACACATACCCTATACACACACATACCCTATACACACACACACATACACACACACATATACATACCCTATACACACACACACACATACCCTATACACACACACACACACACATACCCTATACACACACACACACATACACACACATACCCTATACACCCTATACACACACACACACCCTATACACACACACATATACATACCCTATACACACACATATATATACCCTATACACACACATATATATACCCTATACACACACACATACACACACACACATACCCTATACACACACACACATATACATACCCTATACACACACATACATACCCTATACACACACATATATATACCCTATAAAAAAACAAAGATCCCCCATATAGCCTGAACAGACTGTTGGGGCAAGTGCTGTTAGCGAGCACCTATGAAGGCCGGAACGGCACACGAAAGGGTGGGGTGGCCAGCACCACGCCCGGCCGCCTTTGTCTCCCCAGTGGCGATGTTTGCTACACACCGCACCAGGTACTCATTTGAGGCCGAGTCGACCTAGGGGAGGCCCAGGACCGGTTCAGATACTCGTCACCGGTGGTGGCCGTGAGCGGCAATCGAACTCGGGTCGCCAGGTTCGTAGGTCAGCGTAGCGCTAACCGCCGCGCGTGCGCGGGTCACGTGACAGATGTGATGTCACCGCTAACTTCCCGTGCAAAAATTACGAAAAAAAAGTCTATTTTAATAATGTTTGCACGGTGTACAGTCTGGAAAATACCCACATGGCAAATTTCAAGTTTGTTGCATGTCGGGAAGTACGCTAAACATTTTGAACAGACACACATATTCACGAATTTCCCTTTTATAGTTATAGATACATACACACACACACCCTACACACACACATTCATACCCTACACACACACACCCTACACACACACATTCATACCCTACACACACACACCCGACACACACACATTCATACCCTACACACACACACACACCCTACACGCACACATTCATACCCTACACACACACACACACCCTACACGCACACACACACCCTACACACACACATTCATACCCTACACACACACACCCTACATACACACACATTCATACCCTACACACACACATTCATACCCTACACACACACACACCCTACACACACACACCCTACATACACACACACATTCATACCCTACACACACACCCTACACACACACACCCTACACACACACACACACATTCATACCCTACATACACACACATTCATACCCTACTACACACACATTCATACCCTACACACACACACACCCTACACACACACATTCATACCCTACACACACATTCATATCCTACATACACACACAGTACACACATCCATACCGCTATATATACATGCACAAATACAAAGATCCCCCGTGTAGCCTTAACAGACTGTAGGGGCAAGTGCTGTTAGTAGCGGCAGCAGCAGCACCTGTGAAGGCTACCGGCACTGTGGCACACGAGGGGGTGGGTGGCCAGCACCACGCCCGGCCGCCTTTGTCTCCCCAGTGGCGATGTTCGCTACACACCGCACCAGGTACTCATTTGAGGCTGAGTCGGTTCAGATAATCGTCACTGGTGGTGTTGGTGGCCATGAGCGGGAATCGAACTCGGGTCATAGCCGGGTTCGTAGCGCAGCGTGGCGCTAACCGCTGCACCACCACTCCGGCACCGCACAACAACGGCACCGGCAACGCTCGCGCCAGGCTAGGTGCACTCCAAGGTCACGGGACAGACCCTGCAGGTGCCGTGGGTTGACCGCTGCTGTGCCAGGCTAGGTGCACGAGGAGGTGATCACGGGACAGACCCTGCAGGTGCATTTAGTGTGAAGCGACAGACCAGGTAGCTTCCACACAGCATTATGCAGCCGATGAAAAGATAATGCCGCTCGACTGATTCGGAGTGAGACCTCTGCTGTCAAACTGGAGCCGGTCATAAGCACACTGCCCAGGTATGGGAAACTCTCCACTCTCTCCACTACTGCCCCATCACCGATTGAGAGTTGTGGGGGTGGAGTGTCCGATGGTACAAAATACCCAGGCAAGTGCTTAGTTTTGGTGGGGCTAATGGTAAGGCCCCACCTCTTAGCGGCATGCTCCAGGTTCAGCAGCAGCGCCTCCAACTCCTCCTTTGAATGAGCGGCAATCACCTGATCATCGGCATACATAACGTGGTTGACCAATAGGGAACCATCCCTTAACCGCACCCGGGCATCGATCAGCCTCCCATTCGCATCTGTATCAGATGGAAATTCCTCCGGTACAGCCATGGAAAGCTTCTTGAACTACGTGGTCAAAGATGATGTTAAATAATGTTGGAGCCAGAGGACATCACTGTCGCACCCCAAGGTGTACAGGGAATGGCTCCGATTCCCGGCCACGTAGTTTCACCCGGGCCCGCTCACCATCATGAAGGTCCTTAATGATCGTGAGCAGAGGGTCAGGGACTCCGAAAGCACGAAGAACAACCCAGAGCCCAGGCCTACTGGTGGTATCATAGGCCTTGACCAGGTCAATAAAGCAGAGATGTAGGTCTTGATGGAATTCCCTACACCTCTGCTGTAGCAGACGGACAGAAAATATGGCATCTGGGCAGGACCGCCCTTTCCTGAAATCACATTGGGGCTCCGCAAGCCTCTCCTCAGCGTGCCTGGCAAGGCGATGTTGAATAATCCTTGCCAGGACCTGAGGAGTGAGATGCCCCTGTAGTTGTTACAGTCTGTGCGGTCCCCCTTATTAAAGAGGGGGACCACCAGGGCATATTTACAATCCTGCGGAATGCCACACACTTTAGACGACACACACACGTATGTACACGCACTCTCACACACAAAGATCCCCCATGTAGCCTTAACATACTGTTGGGGCAAGTGCTGTTGGCGAGCACCTATGAAGGCAGGAACGGCACAATGAGGGGTGGGTGGCCAGCACCACGCCCGGCCGCCTTTGTCTCCCTCGCGACGATATTTGTACACCGCACTGGGTACTCATTTGAGCCTGAGTCGACCTAGGGGAGGCCCAGAACCAGGTTTAGATAATCGTCACAGGTGTTGGCCGTGAGCGGGATCGAACTTGGGTCACCGGGTTCATAGCACACAGACACGCACACAGACACGTACACAGACACTCACACACAGACACACACTCACACAGACACACACCCAGACAGACAGATGCACAGACGCACAGACACACACACAGACACACACTCAGACACAGACACTCACAGACACTCACACACAGACACACACTCACACACAGACACACACTCACACACAGACACACACCCACACAGACAGACACAGACAACACACAGACACACACTCAGACACATAAACTCACACACAGACACACACTCACACACAGACACACACTCAAACACTCACACAGACACACAGACACTCACACACAGACACACACCCACACAGACACACACTCACACAGACACACACTCACACAGCCAGACACACACACAGAGACACACACTCACACAGACAGAGACACACTCACACAGACAGACACACACTCACACACACTCACACACTCACACAGACACTCACACACAGACACACACACAGACACCACTTGACCCCTCACCTCTCATCTTCCCCGTCCAACGGAAGGCTCTGAATCAACCCGTCCAACTGTCCGTCACTCTGCTGCTGCTGCTGCTGCAGCTGTTGCTGCTGCAGCAACAGCTCCTGCTGCTGCTGCTGCAGGTGCAGCTGCTGCAGGTGCTGCACCTGCGCCAGCGAGATCTCCGTCTCGGTGGGCAGAGACAGGCGACGAAAGGCAGCGACGTCGCAGTCGATGATGCTGATGTGATTGGCCACGGTGCCGTGGTGGTGCTGCTGCTGCTGCTGCTGGTGATGGAGATGCAGACTGTTCTGCAGCTGTTGAAACTGCTGCTGCTGATTCTGATGGTGCAGCAGGTGGTGGTGGTGGTGCTGATAGTGGTGGTGGTGGTGGTACAGGGAGGGATCCCTCTCGTGAAAGTCCGAGCAAGTCCAGCGGCCCCGCCGGTACGGCACGATGTGCTCCGAGTCCAGCTTGACCACGCGGAACCGCGACGGGTTCTGCGCAGTCGCCGTGGCGACCGTCGTCGCGGCGACCGCCGCCGTGGCGACCGCCGTCGTGGCGACCGTCGCCGCCGCCGTCGTCGGTTGCAAGCAACCGTCGCAGAGTTCCGCGCACGGCCGGACGTCTCCCCGTGCCGCCGGTGTTGTGGGCGGCGCGAGTTGCACACAACCGACGGAACTTCTGCGCCCGTCGTCGCCGCCGCCGCACGCTTCCACGGCGGCGGCGGTGGCTGAGGCGGCGTCGGTGGTGGTGGGCGTGGGACGTGGCGATGCCGCTGTGGCGTAGCAGGCGGCGGCGACGGCAGCAGCAGGCGAACGAGGAGCCGAGTCCAGTGAAGCAGCAGCAGCGGCCGAAGCGGAGGCGGAAGCAGCAGCGGCGGCAGCGGCAGCAGCAGCAACGTCGGCGGTTGTTGTTGTTGTTGCAGCAGTAGCAGCAGCAGCAGCGGTACCGTTTGTAAACGCTGCCGATGGCTGCGGTAGTTGCGGTGCTTGCGGTAGTTGCGGTGGTTGTACGAAGGAAGGTTCCGCGGTCCACTGCTGCTGCTGCTGATGGTGGTGGTGGTTGTTGTCCAGATGACTGTGCTGCTGCTGCTGCTGTTGATGATTTTGTTGATACTGCTGCTGTTGCTGCTGTTGCTGCAACTGCTGCTGCAACTGCAGCTGCTGCTGATGTTCCTGCTGCTGTTGGTACTCACTGCCGCTGTTGTACTGCGGCAGCTGATTTTGTTGATGCTGATGCTGCTGATGTTGTTGATGCTGCAACTGCTGCTGCTGCTGGCACTCACTGCTGCTGTTGTACTGCAGCTGCAGCTGCTGCAGCTGCCCAAGATCCGGCGTCCGTGACTCTCCATAGAGCTTCCTCTCCTCCTCCCCCTCGGTCGTGGCGCTCCCCTCCCCCTCGACCCCCGTGACCCCGGCGACCCCCGCCACCCCCGCGACCCCGGCGACCCCCGCCACGGACGACGAGGACGACGATGCGGTGACGGCCTCCGCCTCCGCGTCCTCGCCCCCCTCCGAGTCGTCGGCGACGCTGGCGGACGAGGCGGGCCGTAGGGGCGGCACCACCACGCTGGTGATCTGGAAGCCGCTCTTCTTGCGCAGCTGAGCCGCCGCAGGGGCGGTCGCAGCCTCGGACGACGACGAGGACGACGACGACGAGGAGGAGGAGGGCGGCGACGGAGGGTGGTGGTGGTGGTGAGGAGGAGGGACCTCTCTGGATTCTCCGGGATCCATCGAGGAGGAAAAGGAGGATGAAGAGGGGAGCTGCGGTGAAGTCGGGGCCAGATTTTCTATCGGCTGCACGGGAGGAGACGAACGGGCAGACGGACAGGCAGACGGACAGGCAGACAAACAAGCAGACGGACACACGTACAGGCAGACAGACAGGCAGACAAACAAGCAGACGGACAGACGGGGGGGGGAGGACAGGTGGTGGTCAAGGTTGACGCATCGCCACAACAAAGGGAGCGAGTTTCCCCAATCAGGGGCTCGCTCGCCGGTAACACCGAGAGAGACACTGACACACACACAGAGAGAGAGACACTGACACACACACAGAGAGACACTGACACACACACAGAGAGAGAGACACTGACACACACACAGAGAGACACTGACACACACACAGAGAGACACTGACACACACACAGAGAGACACTGACACACACACAGAGAGACACTGACACACACACACACAGAGAGAGATACACGCACAGGCTAGAGACGTCATCATCGTCGTCACCACAGAGACCTTCATCCAGCAGCTGATAGACATGGTGGTGACGACACTGACACACACACAGAAATACACGCAGGGCAGAGACATCAACATCAGGTTTATCTATTATTTAAACAATGGGTATTATTACTAACTAAAGATACGTGTGTTAGTGAAGACTCACAAAGCTACGTGTGTTAGTTAAGACTCACAAATAAACACGTGATCACTCTACACGTACCGTAACAGTGAGTAAAAATTCAAGTTAACAAGGAGAATTAGCACACAAAAATCATCTGTTTGATTCCCAAAAGCCTCGAGTCTTGACTCAGGCTTGCTTGCCGGAAGGGATGTTATGAGTCACCAAAACTGCACACACAAAGACAAAGATCCCCCGTGTAGCCTTCATGGGCAGTCGGGGCAAGTGCCGTTTGGTAGCGAGTAGCAGCGCTGCCTTTGAAGGCTACCGGCACTGTGGCACACGAGGGGGTGGGTGGCCAGCACCACGCCCGGCCGCCTTTGTCTCCCCTGTGGCGATGTTTACTACACGCCACACCAGGTTACTCGTTTGAGGCTGAGTCGACCTAGGGGAGGCCCAGGCACCGGTTCAGATAATCGCCACGCTGCGCTACGAACCCGGCGACCCGAGTTCGACTCCCGCTCACGGCCACCACCGCCGCCAGTGACAGCGATGATCTCTACCGGTCCCTGGGCCTCCCCTAGGTCGACTCAGCCTCAAACGAGTACCCGGTGCGGTGTGTAGTGAACATCGCTAGCAGTGGAAAGACAAAGGCGGCCGGGTGGGCGTGGTGCTGGCCACCCACCCCCTCGTGTGCCACAGTGCCGGTAGCCTTCATCGACGCTGATATTCGCTACTCACAGCACTTGCCCCAAGTCTGTTTAGTCTACCTGGGGGATCTTTGTCTTTGGCACTCCTCTACATACGTTTCTAAGGGCTGTTGTCCGAAGCGTCGCCTGTTACAGGAAATACTCACGAACGCGTCTCAGGTTCCAGATGTCTGTGTTCCTAAGTCCAACTTGACTGCTAACGATTCAAAACGTGTTGTACGGCATCGTCACTGACACGGGGAATGGCTGTAACAGTTGTATAATCTCCTGCAGATGTAGGTGCCACTGGTCCTTCACATTCTACAGATGTAGGTGCCACTGGTTCTTCACATTCTACAGATGTAGGTGCCACTGGTTCTTCACGTTCTGCAGATGCCACTAGTTCTTCACGTTCTGCAGATGTAGATGCCACTGGTTCTTCACATTCTGCAGATGTAGATGCCACTGGTTCTTCACATTCTGTAGATGTAGATGCCACTGGTTCTTCACATTCTGTAGATGTAGATGCCACTGGTTCTTCATGTTCTGTAGATGTAGATGCCACTGGTTCTTCACATTCTGTAGATGTAGATGCCACTGGTTCTTCACATTCTGTAGATGTAGATGCCACTGGTTCTTCATGTTCTGTAGATGTAGATGCCACTGGTTCTTCACGTTCTGTAGATGTAGGTGCCACTGGTTCTTCACGTTCTACAGATGTAGATGCCACTGGTTCTTCACGTTCTGCAAATGTAGATGCCACTGGTTCTTCACGTTCTGTAGATGTAGGTGCCACTGGTTCTTCACGTTCTACAGATGTAGATGACACTGGTTCTTCACGTTCTGTAGATGTAGGTGCCACTGGTTCTTCACGTTCTGCAGATGTAGATGCCCACTGGTTCTTCACGTTCTGCAGATGTAGATGCCACTGGTTTTTCACGTTCTGTAGATGCCACTGGTTCTTCACATTCTGTAGATGTAGATGCCACTGGTTCTTCACGTTCTGTAGATGTAGATGCCACTGGTTCTTCACGTTCTGTAGATGTAGATGCCACTGGTTCTTCACGTTCTGTAGATGTAGATGCCACTGGTTCTTCACGTTCTGTAGATGTAGATGCCACTGGTTCTTCACGTTCTGTAGATGTAGATGCCACTGGTTCTTCACATTCTGTAGATGTAGATGCCACTGGTTCTTCACGTTCTGCAGATGTAGATGCCACTGGTTCTTCACGTTCTGTAGATGTAGGTGCCACTGGTTCTTCACATTCTGTAGATGTAGATGCCGCTGGTCCTTCACGTTCTGTAGATGTAGATGCCACTGGTTCTTCACATTCTGTAGATGTAGATGCCACTGGTTCTTCACGTTCTGTAGATGTAGATGCCACTGGTTCTTCACATTCTGTAGATGTAGATGCCACTGGTTCTTCACGTTCTGCAGATGTAGATGCCACTGGTTCTTCACGTTCTGTAGATGTAGGTGCCACTGGTTCTTCACATTCTGTAGATGTAGATGCCGCTGGTCCTTCACGTTCTGTAGATGTAGATGCCACTGGTTCTTCACATTCTGTAGATGTAGATGCCACTGGTTCTTCACGTTCTGTAGATGTAGATGCCACTGGTTCTTCACATTCTGTAGATGTAGATGCCACTGGTTCTTCACGTTCTGCAGATGTAGATGCCACTGGTTCTTCACGTTCTGTAGATGTAGGTGCCACTGGTTCTTCACATTCTGTAGATGTAGATGCCGCTGGTCCTTCACGTTCTACAGATGTAGATGCCACTGGTTCTTCACGTTCTGCAGATGTAGATGCCACTGGTTCTTCACGTTCTGTAGATGTAGGTGCCACTGGTTCTTCACGTTCTACAGATGTAGATGCCACTGGTTCTTCACGTTCTGCAAATGTAGATGCCACTGGTTCTTCACGTTCTGTAGATGTAGGTGCCACTGGTTCTTCACGTTCTACAGATGTAGGTGCCACTGGTTCTTCACGTTCTGTAGATGTAGATGCCACTGGTTCTTCACGTTCTACAGATGTAGATGACACTGGTTCTTCACGTTCTGTAGATGTAGGTGCCACTGGTTCTTCACGTTCTGCAGATGTAGATGCCCACTGGTTCTTCACGTTCTGCAGATGTAGATGCCACTGGTTTTTCACGTTCTGTAGATGCCACTGGTTCTTCACATTCTGTAGATGTAGATGCCACTGGTCCTTCACGTTCTACAGATGTAGATGCCACTGGTTCTTCACGTTCTGTAGATGTAGATGCCACTGGTTCTTCACGTTCTGTAGATGTAGGTGCCACTGGTTCTTCACGTTCTACAGATGTAGATGCCACTGGTTCTTCACGTTCTGTAGATGTAGGTGCCACTGGTTCTTCACGTTCTGTAGATGTAGATGCCACTGGTTCTTCACGTTCTGTAGATGTAGATGCCACTGGTTCTTCACGTTCTGTAGATGTAGGTGCCACTGGTTCTTCACGTTCTACAGATGTAGATGCCACTGGTTCTTCACGTTCTGTAGATGTAGGTGCCACTGGTTCTTCACGTTCTGTAGATGTAGATGCCACTGGTTCTTCACGTTCTACAGATGTAGGTGCCACTGGTTCTTCACGTTCTGCAGATGTAGGTGCCACTGGTTCTTCACGTTCTGTAGATGTAGATGCCATTGGTTCTTCACGTTCTACAGATGTAGATGCCACACTTTCTTCACGTTCTGTAGATGTAGATGCCATTGGTTCTTCACGTTCTGTAGATGTAGATGCCACTGGTTCTTCACGTTCTGTAGATGTAGATGCCACTGGTTCTTCACGTTCTGCAGATGTAGATGCCACTGGTTCTTCACGTTCTGTAGATGTAGGTGCCACTGGTTCTTCACGTTCTACAGATGTAGATGCCACTGGTTCTTCACGTTCTGTAGATGTAGGTGCCACTGGTTCTTCATGTTCTGCAGATGTAGATGCCACTGGTTCTTCACGTTCTACAGATGTAGGTGCCACTGGTTCTTCACGTTCTGCAGATGTAGGTGCCACTGGTTCTTCACGTTCTGTAGATGTAGATGCCACTGGTTCTTCACGTTCTACAGATGTAGATGCCACTGGTTCTTCACGTTCTGTAGATGTAGATGCCACTGGTTCTTCACGTTCTGTAGATGTAGATGCCACTGGTTCTTCACGTTCTGTAGATGTAGATGCCACTGGTTCTTCACGTTCTGCAGATGTAGATGCCACCATCGCCAGGCTGCTGCAACTGGACATATGGACAGGTTTGTTCGAATCTCTGAAAGTTTGTAAGTAGCGGAGTCCCCTGTATTTACTTTCGCTTTTTCTTCTAAAAGCCACTTAAGCCATTGGCATCGCACCGTGAACTTAAACAATCACGAAACACTTTTTATCTTACACCAGGTGGAAAGCCCCACTGACCTGCCGTGCAGGAGCTCTTTTTCAGAAGCGAATTGGCTATCACAAATGATAGCTCAACCAAGTGGCGGCAGATCACCACCATCATCATCAAGTGGAGATGTGTAGCCGCAGCCAAATGCTCTTCACGTGACGTTGATTATAAATGAGGGAAAAACCGGAGGACCCGGAGAGGAAAATGCACGCGACCACGGGGAGAGAGACATGCAAACTCTGAGTATACAGCAGGCGACGTGGTCCGCGATTGAACCCATGGCATCCTGCATACCAGGCGAGGTAGTTAACATCTCGGCACATACACACATAGTCAGGGTTCAGGATTGAACCCACGACCTCGTGCATACCAGGCAAGGTAGTTAACATCTTGGCACATACACGCATGGTCAGGTATCGAGATTGAACCCACGACCTCCTGTATACCAGGCGAGAGAGTTAACATCTCATAGCCACCGTGACGATGATGAAAGACACGAAAACTCCAAATATACAGCAGCAGGATTGTGAGGCATCTGGAATCGAACCCACGACCTCCTGCATACCGGGAGAGGTAGTCAACATCTGGAACCCTCTCTTCTACCACGCGCCTCAGCCCACGCAGTTCAACAAGGCGCCGTTAACAAGCGAATTAACGCACCGGTTCACCATGAGGGTCACTGCAAAACACACCCATTCAGCCCGTTCAAGTGTAAACTTCTGCCCATCTCAAACAAGTGAACGATGGTTAAACCCACTAACCCCACGACACTTAAACCCACTAAACCCACAGATACTTAAACCCACTAACCCCATGACACTTAAACCCACTAAACCCACAGACACTTAAACCCACTAACCCCATGACACTTAAACCCACTAACCCATGACACTTAAACCCACTAAGTCCATGACACTTAAACCCACTAACCCATGACACTTAAACCCACTAACCCATGACACTTAAACCCACTAACCCATGACACTTAAACCCACTAAGTCCATGACACTTAAACCCACGACACTTAAACCCACTAACTCCATGACACTTAAACCCACTAACCCATGACACTTAAACCCACTAAACCCACAGACACTTAAACCCACAACACTTAAACCCACTAAACCCACAACACTTAAACCCACTAACCCATGACACTTAAACCCACTAAACCCACAGACACTTAAACCCACAACACTTAAACCCACTAAACCCACAACACTTAAACCCACTAACCCATGACACTTAAACCCACTAAACCCACTAAACCCATGACACTTAAACCCACTAAACCCACAACACTTAAACCCACTAACCCCACGACACTTAAACCCACTAAACCCACAACACTAAAACCCACTAAACCCATGACACTTAAACCCACTAAACCCATGACACTTAAACCCACTAACCCATGACACTTAAACCCACTAAACCCACTAACCCTATGACACTTAAACCCACTAAACCCACAACACTTAAACCCACTAAACCCACAACACTTAAACCCACTAAACCCATGACACTTAAACCCACTAAACCCACAACACTTAAACCCACTAAACCCACAACACTTAAACCCACTAAACCCACAACACTTAAACCCACTAACCCATGACACTTAAACCCACTAAACCCACAACACTTAAACCCACAAACCCATGACACTTAAACCCACTAAACCCACGACACTTAAACCCACTAAACCCACGACACTTAAACCCACTAAACCCACAGACACTTAAACCCACGACACTTAAACCCACTAACCCATGACACTTAAACCCACTAAACCCACAACACTTAAACCCACTAACCCATGACACTTAAACCCACAGACACTTAAACCCACTAAACCCACAGACACTTAAACCCACTAAACCCACAACACTTAAACCCACTAACCCCATGACACTTAAACCCACTAAACCCACAACACTTAAACCCACTAACCCCACGACACTTAAACCCACTAACCCCATGACACTTAAACCCACTAAACCCACAGACACTTAAACCCACTAACTCCATCACACTTAAACCCACTAACCCATGACACTTAAACCCACTAAACCCACAACACTTAAACCCACTAACCCACGACACTTAAACCCACTAACCCCATGACACTTAAACCCACTAAACCCACAACACTTAAACCCACTAACCCCACGACACTTAAACCCACTAACCCCATGACACTTAAACCCACTAAACCCACAGACACTTAAACCCACTAACCCATGACACTTAAACCCACTAAACCCACAACACTTAAACCCACTAAACCCACAACACTTAAACCCACTAACCCCATGACACTTAAACCCACTAAACCCACAACACTTAAACCCACTAACCCCACGACACTTAAACCCACTAACCCCATGACACTTAAACCCACTAAACCCACAGACACTTAAACCCACTAACTCCATCACACTTAAACCCACTAACCCATGACACTTAAACCCACTAAACCCACAACACTTAAACCCACTAACCCACGACACTTAAACCCACTAACCCCATGACACTTAAACCCACTAAACCCACAACACTTAAACCCACTAACCCCACGACACTTAAACCCACTAACCCCATGACACTTAAACCCACTAAACCCACAGACACTTAAACCCACTAACCCATGACACTTAAACCCACTAAACCCACAACACTTAAACCCACTAAACCCACAACACTTAAACCCACTAACCCCATGACACTTAAACCCACTAAACCCACAACACTTAAACCCACTAAACCCACAACACTTAAACCCACTAACCCCATGACACTTAAACCCACTAAACCCACAACACTTAAACCCACTAACCCCATGACACTTAAACCCACTAACCCCATGACACTTAAACCCACTAACCCCACGACACTTAAACCCACTAACCCCATGACACTTAAACCCACTAAACCCACAGACACTTAAACCCACTAACTCCATCACACTTAAACCCACTAACCCATGACACTTAAACCCACTAAACCCACAACACTTAAACCCACTAACCCACGACACTTAAACCCACTAAACTCAGGACATTTTCCCACACAAGGGAACCCGTTCCACCGTTCAATCGACACAATCGCTTCCCAAGTCGCGAGAGCCGTAAACCTCTCCTCACCTTTTCCTTTCTCTCTCGCTCGAGCTCCTAAAAACGTTCAACATCTCAACGATTAAACTCAACCGAACCTACCCCGGCCTACAAGAGACCGAGGGGGGGTAGGCCGAAGCCTACGGTGTCGCCTGGCTCGCGCGGCCGGGGATGAGGGGGCGAGGGGTTCCCAGGCCGTAGTACTTGCCCGACCGCCTCGAGCGAAGCCGGCGATGGTTCGTCGGAGTCTCCAAGTGTGGGGACGACGTTGCCTCCCCGCCCACCCCGCGGCGAGTAACTTTAATGGAAAGTTATCTTCTAGTTACCGCGACTTTAATCGCTGTTTCTTTTTAAGATTAAAAAAAATAGGTGGCGAACTTTTTTAAGATGGCGGCAGCGCACAAGCTTCTGAGGGCGGCGGCGGTGGCGGGTTGTGATGCGGTCGCCTCGTGATGACGCCGCTTCACTCAGCGGCGGCTTTGGAGGGGGGAGGGAGGGAGATCGATCCGCCGGAATCGATTCGTCGCCACGCCCCTTACGCGCCAAAAAGTCGATTCCGATCTGCGGTTACGTTCGCCTTCGACGGTGGGTGGGGGCGTTGAATCGACCGGCGACCGTGGTGGAATCGATTCCATTGAGGCTATGTCGGTGTTAAAAGGAGGCAATCGATTCCGTTATGCAATCGAAAGATTAGAAAACCGATTTAGAATTCGAGGAATTCCAAAAGGGAGTGGGGGGGGTGGATGACGTCATAGCGTCGCGGGTGGGGCGTGCGTCGAGCGATGACGTCCCCTCACAGGAATCCCGGAGGGTGCAAATGACGTCACATAGTTTTAAAGTGGATGTGGGTTAGTCATGGGTCTGTGTGTGTGAGTGGTGAGTCTGTGTGTCTCTGTGTGGTGAGTCTGTGGGTCTCTGTGTGGTGAGTCTGTGAGTCTTTGTGGTGAGTCTCTGGGTCTCTGTGTGGTGAGTCTGTGGGTCTCTGTGTGGTGAGTCTATGGGTCTCTGTGGTGAGTCTGTGGGTCTCTGTGGTGATGAGTCTGTGGGTCTCTGTGTGGTGAGTCTGTGGGTCTCTGTGTGGTGAGTCTGTGGGTCTCTGTGTGGTGAGTCTGTGAGTCTCTGTGTGGTGAGTCTCTGGGTCTCTGTGTGGTGAGTCTGTGGGTCTCTGTGTGGTGAGTCTATGGGTCTCTGTGGTGATGAGTCTGTGGGTCTCTGTGTGGTGAGTCTGTGGGTCTCTGTGTGGTGAGTCTGTGGGTCTCTGTGTGGTGAGTCTGTGGGTCTCTGTGTGGTGAGTCTGTGGGTCTCTGTGTGGTGAGTATATGGGTCTCTGTGTGGTGAGTCTCTATGTGGTGAGTCTCTGGGTCTCTGTGTAATGAGTCTGTGGGTCTCTGTGTGTGTGAGTCTGTGGGTCTCTGTGTGATGAGTCTGTGGGTCTATGTGTGGTGAGTCTGTGGGTCTCTGTGTGGTGAGTCTGTGGGTCTCTGTGTGGTGAGTCTGTGGGTCTCTGTGTGGTGAGTATATAGGTCTCTGTGTGGTGAGTCTCTATGTGGCGAGTCTCTGGGTCTCTGTGTGATGAGTCTGTGGGTCTCTGTGTGTGTGAGTCTGTGGGTCTCTGTGTGGTGAGTCTGTGGGTCTCTGTATGGTGAGTCTATGGGTCTCTGTGTGGTGAGTCTGTGGGTTTCTGTGTGATGAGTCTGTGGGTCTCTGTGTGGTGAGTCTGTGGGTCTCTGTATGGTGAGTCTGTGGGTCTCTGTGTGGTGAGTCTCTATGTGGTGAGTCTCTGGGTCTCTGTGTGGTGAGTCTATGGGTCTCTGTGTGGTGGGTCTCTGTGTGATGAGTCTCTGCGTCTCTGTGTGATGAGTCTATGGCTCTCCGTGTGGTGAGTCTGTGGGTCTTTGTGTGGTGAGTCTGTGGGTCTCTGTGTGGTGAGTCTGTGGGTCTCTGTGTGGTGAGTCTGTGGGTCTCTGTGTGGTGAGTCTGTGGGTCTCTGTGTGATGAGTCTATGGCTCTCTGTGTGGTGAGTCTGTGGGTCTGTGTGATGAGTCTCTGGGTCTCTGTGTGATGAGTCTATGGCTCTCTGTGTGGTGAGTCTGTGGGTCTCTGTGTGGTGAGTCTGTGGGCCTCTGTGTGAGTCTGTGGGTCTCTGTGTGGTGAGTCTGTGGGTCTCTGTGTGAATCTATGGGTCTCTGTGTGAGTCTGTGTCTCTGTGTGAGTCTGTGTCTCTGTGCGAGTCTATGGGTCTCTGTGCGAGTCTATGTGTCTCTGTATGAGTCTGTGTCTCTATGTGAGTCTATGGGTTTCTGTGTGAGTCTATGGGTCTCTGTGTGAGTCTATGTGTCTCTGTATGAGTCTGTGTCTCTATGTGAGTCTATGGGTCTCTGTGTGAGTCTATGGGTCTCTGTGTGAGTGGGTCTCTGTGTGTGAGTCTATGGGCCTCTGTGTGAGTCTATGGGTCTCTGTGTGAGTCTATGGGTTTCTGTGTGAGTCTATGTGTCTCTGTGTGAGTCTATGGGTCTCTGTGCGAGTCTATGTGTCTCTGTGTGAGTCTATGGGTCTCTGTGTGAGTGAGTCTCTGTGTGTGAGTCTATGGGCCTCTGTGTGAGTCTATGGGTCTCTGTGTGAGTCTATGGGTCTCTGTGTAAGTCTATGGGTCTCTGTGTTAATCTATGGGTCTCTGTGTGAGTCTGTGTCTCTGTGTGAGTCTATGGGTCTCTGCGTGAGTCTATGGGTCTCTGTGTGAGTCTAGGGGTCTCTGTGTGAGTCTATGGGTCTCTGTGTGAATCTATGGGTCTCTGTGTGAGTCTGTGTCTCTGTGTGAGTCTATGGGTTTCTGTGTGAGTCTATGCGTCTCTGTATGAGTCTGTGTCTCTATGTGAGTCTATGGGTTTCTGTGTGAGTCTATGGGTCTCTGTGTGAGTCTATGGGTCTCTGTGTGTGTATGGGTCGCTGTGTGAGTCTATGGGTCTCTGTGTGAGTCTATGGGTCTGTGTGAATCTATGGGTCGCTGTGTGAGTCTATGTGTCTCTGTGTGAGTCTGTGTCTCTGTGTGAGTCTATGGGTCTGTGTGTGAGTCTGTGTCTCTGTGTGAGTCTGTGTCTCTGTGTGAGTCTATGGGTCTCTGTGTGAGTCTATGCGTCTCTGTATGAGTCTGTGTCTCTATGTGAGTCTATGGGTTTCTGTGTGAGTCTATGGGTCTCTGTGTGAGGATATGGGTCTCTGTGTGTGTATGGGTCGCTGTGTGAGTCTATGGGTCTCTGTGTGAGTCTATGGGTCTGTGTGAATCTATGGGTCGCTGTGTGAGTCTATGTGTCTCTGTGTGAGTCTGTGTCTCTGTGTGAGTCTATGGGTCTGTGTGTGAGTCTGTGTCTCTGTGTGAGTCTGTGTCTCTGTGTGAGTCTATGGGTCTCTGTGTGAGTCTATGCGTCTCTGTATGAGTCTGTGTCTCTATGTGAGTCTATGGGTTTCCGTGTGAGTCTATGGGTCTCTGTGTGAGGCTATGGGTCTCTGTGTGTGTATGGGTCGCTGTGTGAGTCTATGGGTCTCTGTGTGAGTCTATGGGTCTGTGTGAATCTATGGGTCGCTGTGTGAGTCTATGTGTCTCTGTGTGAGTCTGTGTCTCTGTGTGAGTCTATGGGTCTGTGTGTGAGTCTGTGTCTCTGTGTGAGTCTGTGTCTCTGTGTGAGTCTATGGGTCTCTGTGTGAGTCTATGGGTCTCTGTGGATGTGAGTGGATGGGCGAGTGTGTGGACGATCATTGTCTTTGTGGGTGGGTGAGTGAATTTGTGGGTGTGTGAATGTGAGTTGGCGTGTGGGTGTGCGAGTCGGTGAGAGTGTGAGTAATTGGGTGTGTGAGTGGGTGGGTCTGTGTGGGCATGTGAGTGGATGGGTGAGTGTGTGAGTGAGTGTGTGTGTGAGTGAGTGTGAGTGAGTGTGTGAGTGTGTGTGAGTCAGTGTGTGTGTGAGTAGTGAGTGTGTGTGAGTGTGTGAGTGAGTGTGTGTGTGAGTGTGTGAGTGTGTGTGAGTGAGTGTGTGTGTGAGTAGTGAGTGTGTGAGTGAGTGTGTGTGTGAGTAGTGAGTGTGTGAGTGTGTGAGTGAGTGTGCCGAGTAGTTGGGTGACTGTGTGAACACGTGAGTAGCTTCGTGTGTGAGTGGGGAGCGGTGGCGCAGCGGTTAGCGCACTGCGCTACCCAACGTCCCGAGTTCGATTCCCGCTCACGGCTACCAACACCACCAGTGACGATTATCAGAAGCGGTCCTGGGCCTCTCCTAGGTTGACTCAGTCTCAAATGAGTACCTGGTGCGGTGTGTAGTAATCATCACCATCGGGGAGACAAAGGCGGCCGGGCGTGGTGCTGGCCACCCACCCCCTCGTGTGCTGTACCGGCCTTCATAGGCACTTGCCCCAACAGTCTGTTAAGGCTGCACGGGGGATCTTTGTTTGTGAGTGAGTTTGTGGGTGATTTTGTGGGTGACTTTGTGAGTGAGTTTGTAGGTGAGTTTGAGTGAGTTTGTGGGTGAGTTTTTGGGTGAGTTTGTGGGTGACTTTGTGAGTGAGTTTGTGAGCGAGTTTGTGGGTGAGTTTGAGAGTGAGTTTGTGGGCGACTTCGTGAGTGAGTTTGAGTGAGTTTGTGGGTGACTTCGTGAGTGAGTTTGTAGGTGAGTTTGTGGGTTAGTTTGAGAGTGAATTTGTGGGCGACTTCGTGAGTGAGTTTGAGTGAGTTTGTGGGTGACTTCGTGAGTGAGTTTGTGGGTGAGTTTGTGAGTGAGTTTGTGGGTGAGTTTGTGGGTGACTTCGTGAGTGAGTTTGTAGGTGAGTTTGTGGGTGACTTTGTGAGTGAGTTTGTAGGTGACTTTGTGGGTGAGTTTGTGACTGAGTCTGACTGAGTTTGTGGGTGACTTTGTGAGTGAGTTTGTGGGCGACGTCGTGAGTGACTTTGTGAGTGAGTTTGTGGGTGACTTCGTGAGTTGGCTATCGCGCTCTGCGGGAGGCGCATTGCCCGAAGCGTCGCCAATTGTCAGTCTCCACGTCGGCGCCAGACACGCAGTGACGCTGGGCGAACAGCAGGTGGCGGTCACGAGTGTGTGGGTCTCTGTGTGGTGAGTCTATGCGTCTCTGTGTGGTGAGTCTGTGGGTCTCTGTGTGGTGAGTCTGTGGGTCTCTGTGTGGTGAGTCTGTGCGTCTCTGTGTGGTGAGTCTGTGAGTCTCTGTGTGATGAGTCTGTGGGTCTCTGTGTGGTGAGTCTGTGCGTCTCTGTGTGGTGAGTCTGTGGGTCTCTGTGTGGTGAGTCTGTGCGTCTCTGTGTGGTGAGTCTGTGGGTCTCTGTGTGGTGAGTTTGTGGGTCTGTGTGTGGTGAGTCTGTGGGTCTCTGTGTGGTGAGTCTGTGGGTCTCTGTGTGGTGAGTCTGTGGGTCTCTCTGTGGTGAGTCTGTGGGTCTCTGTGGTGATGAGTCTGTGGGTCTCTGCGTGTGAGTCTGTGGGTCTCTCTGTGATGAGACTGTGGGTCTCTGTGTGGTGAGTCTGTGGGTCTCTGTGTGTGAGTCTGTGGGTCTCTGTGTGTGAGTCTATGGGTTTCTGTGTGATGAGTCTGTGGGTCTCTGTGTGATGAGTCTGTGAGTATCTGTGTGGTGAGTCTGTGGGTCTCTGTGTGGTGAGTCTGTGGGTCTCTGTGTGGCGAGTCTGTGGGTCTCTGTGTGATGAGTCTGTGGGTCTCTGTGATGAGTCTGTGGGTCTCTGTGTGGTGAGTCTGTGCGTCTCTGTGTGGTGAGTCTATGGGTCTCTGTGTGGTGAGTCTGTGGGTCTCTGTGTGGTGAGTTTGTGGGTCTGTGTGTGGTGAGTCTGTGGGTCTCTGTGTGGTGAGTCTGTGGGTCTCTGTGTGGTGAGTCTGTGGGTCTCTCTGTGGTGAGTCTGTGGGTCTCTGTGGTGATGAGTCTGTGGGTATCTGCGTGTGAGTCTGTGGGTCTCTCTGTGATGAGACTGTGGGTCTCTGTGTGTGAGTCTGTGGGTCTCTGTGTGTGAGTCTATGGGTTTCTGTGTGATGAGTCTGTGGGTCTCTGTGTGATGAGTCTGTGAGTCTCTGTGTGGTGAGTCTGTGGGTCTCTGTGTGGTGAGTCTGTGGGTCTCTGTGTGGCGAGTCTGTGGGTCTCTGTGTGATGAGTCTGTGAGTCTCTGTGTGGTGAGTCTGTGGGTCTCTGTGTGGTGAGTCTGTGGGTCTCTGTGTGGCGAGTCTGTGGGTCTCTGTGTGATGAGTCTGTGGGTCTCTGTGATGAGTCTGTGGGTCTCTGTGTCATGAGTCTATGAGTCTCTGTGTGGTGAGTCTGTGGGTCTCTCTGTGGTGAGTCTGTGGGTCTCTGTGGTGATGAGTCTGTGGGTCTCTGTGATGAGTCTGTGGGTCTCTGTGTGATGAGTCTATGAGTCTCTGTGTGGTGAGTCTGTGGGTCTCTCTGTGGCGAGTCTGTGGGTCTCTGTGTGATGAGTCTGTGGGTCTCTGTGATGAGTCTGTGGGTCTCTGTGTGATGAGTCTATGAGTCTCTGTGTGGTGAGTCTATGGGTCTCTGTGTATTGAGTCATTGGTGACCAGGCTGAGACAATAAACTCGCTGAGATTAGATTGTTTTAAAAATGTATCACAATAAAGACAACGATCCCCCGTATAGCCTTTAATAGACTGTTGGGGCAAGTGCTGTTAAGGAGCGCCTGCACTGTGGCACACGAGGGGGTGGGTGGCCAGCACCACGCCCGGCCGCCTTTGTCTCCCCAGTGGCGATACACTCCGAGGCTATCACGTGAAGTGTCAACGGGCCCCCTGCTGGCAGGAGGTCACGGGACAGACCCTGCAGGTGCCACGGGTCGACCGACTGAGATGACTGGCAGATGATGCCAACTCGCTGTGCTTTATCCACCCGGCGCTCCGCTCGTTGTTGTGAGCGTCGCTCCTCCGCCCACCGTTGTTGTTGGAGGGCGACTGCCTCCAACTGCCCAGTAGCGTCCTTCACGAGCCTCCTCCACAGAGGCCGATCTTGACACCGCTGGTACCAGTCATCGGCAAGTCCACTCAGCTCCACGTCCTCCTGTACCACATCACTCCATCTCTTCTCTAGCCCGTGCCGCGCCCGTTTAGCCCCCTCGATCCGGCCGAACAAAAGCTGTTTAGGCATGCGGTGGCTGGGCATGCGGGCTACATGACCCAGCCAACGCAGCCTTGCCTGCCGGAGGAGCTCACCGATGGGACTTTGCCCAGATCTATCAAGGGTTTGTGAGCTCCTCACACAATCCAGCCTGGTTAAACCCAGGATGGATCGTAGGCAGGCCAGCCTAAATGTTTACAACCGGCGAAGATGCTCCATTAGGGGGCTCCACGTTTCGCAAGCGTAGAGAAGGGAGGGAATGACCGTGGCCGAGAAGACCTGAAGCTTCGTGCGGAGCGACAGACCAGGTAGCTTCCACACATCGTTACGCAACCGATGAAAAGATATTGCCGCTCGACTGATTCGGAGTGAGACCTCTGCTGTTAAACTGGAGCCGGTCATAAGCACACTGCCCAGGTATGGGAAACTCTCCACTCTCTCCACAACTTCCCCATCACCGATTGGGAGCTGTGGGGGTGGAGTGTCCTGCCGGAGGAGCTCACCAATGGGACTTTGTACAGGTACACACACACAGGTACACACAGGTACACACACAGGTACACACACACACACCCACAGGTACACACACCCACAGGTACACACACACACACCCACAGGTACACACACACACACCCACAGGTACACACACACACACCCACAGGTACACACACCCACAGGTACACACACACACACACCCACAGGTACACACACACACACACCCACAGGTACACACACCCACAGGTACACACACCCACAGGTACACACACCCACAGGTACACACACCCACAGGTACACACACCCACAGGTACACACACCCACAGGTACACACACCCACAGGTACACACACCCACAGGTACACACACCCACAGGTACACACACCCACACACCCACAGGTACACACACACACACACACCCACAGGTACACACACACACCCACAGGTACACACACACACACACACCCACAGGTACACACACACACACACACCCACACAGGTACACACACACACACACAGGTACACACACACACACCCACACACACAGGTACACACACACACACCCACAGGTACACACACACACACACAGGTACACACACACACACAGGTACAGACCCACACTCACTCTCAAAACGGGAGCCATGTTGTCAAATGTATTTTTTTATTGTTTCTATTCGACTAAAGAACCACCACCGCCGCCGCCTGTGTTACAACCATCAACAGCAACACCCCCAGAACAACACCCCCCCCCCCCACAGAAACACCCCCAGCAGCAGCAGCAGGTCGCGGTGTCCGTCACGCCTGGTCGCCGGTGCTGGGGGTCCTTCCTCTCAACAAGGAACCACAAACGAAAAGCAGCTGCAGCAGCAGCAACAGCAGCTGCAGCAGCAGCAGCAACAGCAGCTGCAGCAGCAGCAACAGCAGCTGCAGCAGCAGCAACAGCAGCTGCAGCAGCAGCAACAGCAGCAGCAACAGCAGCAGCAGCAGCAGCTGCAGCAGCAGCAGCAGCTGCGATGACTCCGGCTCAATGCTGGAGGCAACGCTGACTGCGTGACAAGTCAGCTGATCTCCAGCTGAGTCAGGCTGTCACCAGCTGCGTGACAAATCAACTGGTCTGTAGCCGAGTCAGGCTGTCACCAGCTGAGTCACAAGTCAGCTGGTCTGTAGCCGAGTCAGGCTGTCACCAGCTGCGTGACAAGTCAGCTGGTCACCAGCCGAGTCAGGCTGTCATCAGCTAAGTCAGCCGTTATATCAGCTGTGTGGCAGTCAGTCTGTGTGTGTCACTGTGTCTGTGTGTCTCACTGTGTGTCACTGTGTGTCACTGTCTGTGTGTGTGTCACTGTGTGTGTCACCGTTTCTGTGTCACCGTGTCTGTCTGTGTGTGTGTCTCACTGTGTGTGTGTCACTGTGTATGTGTCAGTGTGTCACTGTGTCAGTGTGTCACTGGGCGTGGTGCTGGCCACCCACCCCCTCGTGTGCCACAGTGCCGGTAGCCTTCATAGGTGCTGCTCGCTAACAGCACTTGCCCCTACAGCCTGTTAGAGGCTACACGGGGGAGCTTTGCCTTGTGTGTGTGTGTTTGTCAGTGTCTTTGTGAGTCAGTCCATGAGTCTCTGTATGGGTCTATGGGGTTTCTCTAGAGGTTCCTATATATGGGTCTCTATATGGGTCTCTATATGGGTCTCTATATGGGTCTCTATATGGGTCTCTATATGGGTCTCTATATGGGTCTCTATATGGGTCTCTATATGGGTCTCTATATGGGTCTCTATATGGGTCTCTATATGGGTCTCTATATGGGTCTCTATATGGGTCTCTATATGGGTCTCTATATGGGTCTCTATATGGGTCCGGTTGAGGTTCCAGCGTTCAAAACCACCACCACCATTATCATCATTATCACCTTTAACATTGCCATCATCTTGATGGAGATCATCACCATGATCACCACAATCGCTACCATTAAAAACCACAATCACCATCGCCAACTTCACCAACATAATGCCCATCACCAACATAATGCCCATCACCACCATCACCATCACCACCATCACCATCACCACCACTACCATCACCACGTGATTCACAGCACCACTTGATTTCGGGGTAAACATTCAGTGGTGGGTGGATGCATCGTGGACAGACTGTCACCCGCCATGGGAATGTGGAATGTCCACGTGGCACCACGCGGCACCGCGTGGTACCACGTGGCACCACAAGGGGGTTGTGGGGGTGAGTGTGGGTGGGTGAGCGTGTGGATGGGAGAGTGGGAGAGCATGTGGGTGGGTGAGCGTGTGGGTGAGTGGTTGAGTGAGTGAGTGGCTGAGTGAGTGAGTGAGTGGTTGAGTGAGTGAATGAGTGGCTGAGTGAGTGAGCGAGTGGTTGAGTGAGTGAGTGGTTGAGTGAGTGAGTGGTTGAGTGAGTGAGTGGTAGAGTGAGTGAGTGAGTGAGTAGTTGAGTGAATGGTTGAGTGAGTGAGTGGTTGAGTGAGTGAGTGGTTGAGTGAGTGAGTGGTTGAGTGAGTGAGTGGTAGAGTGAGTGAGTGAATGGTTGAGTGAGTGAGTAGTTGAATGAGTGAGTGGTTGAGTGAGTGAGCGAGTGGTTGAGTGAATGGTTGAGTGAGCGAGTGAGTGTACAAATGAGCGGTCGGTCAGCCAGTTGGACGAGAGGGCCAAGTAGGCCCCACTATGACCCCACTATAGGGCCAACTATAGGACCAACTATAGGGCCAACTATAGGGCCAACTACGGGCCCACTATGGGCCCACTATGGCCTCCCCCCCCACCTCCCCCACCCTGGCCCCCGCCGCGTCACTTGAGCTGCGAGTCGAGCTTGCGCTGGATGTGCTTGAATGCGTCCGCTCCCAGGTAGTCGGCCTGTCCACTCTCCCACTGCTGCCTCCGCCTGCGCTCCTCGTGCTCCTGCTGCTGCTGCTGCTGCTGCTGCTCCTGCTGCGAGGAGCCGGCGCCAGGAGCCACGGCCAGCGCCGACAGCGCCGACTGCAGAGACGAAACCTGAGCAAGCGTGGGACGGATGGGGATTAGTCCACACGGGGGGGGGGGGGGGGGGCGGTAGTGGTGGCACGGGGTAGGAAGAGAGCTCCGCTCACCCATCCGCGTGTGGTCCACCAACCAGGTAGGGTGTTGACTGTCGTGTTGGCCGACTCTGTGTGCTGTATTGCATTGTAGTTCTAAGTTCACTAGGTTGGTTTTCTCTTTCATTTGAACCTGACGATGATTGCTTGTGTTGCAATCGAAGCGTCGTGTGCTGGTATTTAATCTATTGTGTTCTCTTTCTACGCGACTTTACTGAAAGAACCAACGAGCATCATCATCATCACCACCGTGTGGACATTATAGCAGCAGTCAAAGACTCTGGACCACGTGCTGCTGCTGATGTTGTTGATGTTGATGTTGTTGTTGACTCTAAACGTGGAGGGGGAAAAGCCGGAGGAGCCGGAGACAAATCCACGCAGCGACCACTACGGGGAGAGAGACGCAAACTCCACATACATAGCAGCAGCAGGCGTCAGGGTCGGGATCGAACCCACGACCTCCTGTAGACCAGGCGAGGTAGTCAACATCTCATAGCCACCGTGATGATGAGAGGGAGAGACGCAGACTCCACATATACAGCAGCAGCAGCAGCAGGCGCCGTTAGGGTCGGGATCGAACCCACGACCTCCTGCGTACCAGGCGAGGTAGTCAACATCTCATAGCCACCGTGATGATGATGAGAGAGTCAACATCTCATAGCGAGCAGCACAAACTAAAAAACAGGAAGCAAGAATGAGGCCATGCGCTCACCTCTCCAGCAGCAGAACCACCACCGACACCGCCACCCGCCGCCACCACCGACACCATCGACACCACCGCCACCACCGGCGCCATCACCGGCGCCACCACCGGCGTCACCACCAACCTCTACGCCGGCGGCCGCTTGCGCCACGGCCGCAGCGGCGGCGTCCGCGGGCAGCGTGGGCAACACGCTGGCGTGGAACAGCTGCCACCAGCGCTGCAGGAAGTTGGCGTGGTGGGGCAGCTGGTGGGGCAGCTGCTGCTGCTGCTGGTGCTGCTGCGTGAGGTCCGAGGAGGAGGAGGAGACGGTGCCGGACGTGGAGTCGTAGCGGCAGTGCCAGGGCTTCACCGCACCCAGGAAGTGGACCACCTTGACATCGCCACCAAATCTTGGAAGGGGGTGGAGGTGGGGGGGAGGGGGGAGGCAGCATCACCCCGCGGCCTTCCGGCTCCTAGTGGTGGTGGTGGTGAAGGTGGTGGTGGTGAAGGTGGTGGTGGTGAAGGTGGTGGTGGTGGTGAAGGTGGTGGTGAAGGTGGTGGTGGTGAAGGTGCTGGTGGTGAAGGTGCTGGTGGTGGTGAAGGTGATGGTGGTGGTGAAGGTGATGGTGGTGGTGAAGGTGGTGGTGAAGGTGAAGGTGGTGGTGGTGGTGAAGGTGGTGAAGGTGGTGGTGGTGATGGTGATGGTGGTGAAGGTGAAGGTGGTGGTGATGGTGATGGTGGTGGTGATGATCAGTTTGTTAGGGGGTGACCTGTGTGTGTGTCCATCTCCATGTGCGTTCATGTGTCCGTATGCGTGTACGTGTGTGTGTACGCATGCGTGTGTGTACGCACGTGTGTGTGTGTGTATACATGTGTGTGTGTATACATGTGTGTGTGTACACCACGTGTGTGTGTGTGTACGTGTGTGTACGTGTGTGTACGTACGTGTGTGTACGTACGTGTGTGTGTGTACGTGTGTACCTTTTGAAGGCCGGCAGGTACGAGTAGACGGATGCGATGCTGTGTGTGTACGTGTGTACACTGTGTGTACACGTGTGTGTGTGTGTATACACCGTTTGTAGGCTGGCAGGTACGAGTAGACTGAGGCGATGCTGTGTGTGTGTGTGTGTACACTGTGTGTGTACGTGTGTGTGTGTGTGTATATACACTGTGTGTGTACACACCGTTTGTAGGCTGGCAGGTACGAGTACACTGACGCGATGCTGTGTATGTGTGTGTGTACACTGTGTGTGTGTGTGTACACTGTGTGTACACACCTTTTGTAGGCTGGCAGGTACGAGTAGACGGATGCAATGCTGTGTGTGTGTGTACACTGTGTGTGTGTGTGTGTACACTGTGTGTACACTGTGTGTGTGTGTACACACCTTTTGTAGGCCGGCAGGTAAGAGTACACGGACGCGATGCTGTGTGTGTGTGTGTACGTGTGTGTGTGTGTACACTGTGTGTGTGTGTGTGTGTACCGTTTGTAGGCTGGCAGGTAAGAGTACACTGACGCGATGCTCAGGTTGTAGGTGAACGGGAGGTGGCGGTCGATGTTCTCCGTGGCCCAGCCGCTGAAGAACGTGTTCAGCAGGCCCTGGTCACCCCCTACACAGACAAAGGTCCCCCGTGTAGCCTCACACACACTGCAGGGACAAGTGCTGTTCATCGTAGCGAGTAGCAGCACCTATACACAGACAAAGATCCCCGTGTAGCCTCTAACAGACTGTAGGGGCAAGTGCTGTGAGTAGCGAGTAGCAGCAGCGCCTATACACAGACAAAGGTCCCCCGTGTAGCCTCTAACAGACTGTAGGGGCAAGTGCTGTTAGTAGCAAGTAGCAGCACCTATACACAGACAAAGATCCCCCGTGTAGCCTCTAACAGGCTGTAGGGGCAAGTGCTGTTAGTAGCGAGTAGCAGCAGCACCTGTGAAGGCTACCGGCACTGTGGCACACGAGGGGGTGGGTGGCCAGCACCACGCCCGGCCGCCTTTGTCTCCCCAGTGGCGATGTTGACTACACACCGCACCAGGTACTCATTTGAGACTGAGTCGACCTAGGAGAGGCCCAGGACCGGTTCAGATAATCGTCACTGGTGGTGTTGGTGGCCGTGAGCGGGAATCGAACTCGGGTCATAGCCGGGTTCGTAGCGCAGCGTAGCGCTAACCACTGCACCACCGCTCACCACACCACCACCACCAACCACCACACCACCATCATCAACCACCACCACCATCATCAACCACCACCACACTGAGTGAGTGAGCGAGCAAGTGAGTGAGCTGGTGAGTGAGTGAGCGAGCTGGTGAGTGAGCTGGTGAGCGAGCGAGTGAGCTGGTGAGTGAGCTGGTGAGTGAGCTGGTGAGCGAGCTGGTGAGCGAGCTGGTGAGTGAGTGAGCGAGCGAGTGACTCACCATCGAAGCTGCCGGTGGAGTGAGCGAGCGCTAGCAGCTGAGAGTATGTGTCCAGTGAGTGGGTGAGTGAGTGAGTTGGTGAGTGAGCTGGTGAGCGAGTGAGCTGGTGAGCGAGTGAGCTGGTGAGCGAGTGAGTGAGCTGGTGAGTGAGTGAGCTGGTGAGTGAGTGAGCTGGTGAGTGAGTGAGCTGGTGAGTGAGCTGGTGAGTGAGTGAGTGAGCGAGCTGGTGAGCGAGCGAGTGAGTGAGTGAGTGAGTGAGCTGGTGAGTGAGTGACTCACCATCGAAGCTGCCTGTAGAGCGAGCGTGCTCCAGCAGCTGTGCGTACGTGTCCAGCGAGTGAGTGAGCTGGTGAGTGAGCTGGTGAGCGAGTGAGTGAGCTGGTGAGTGAGCTGGTGAGTGAGTGGGTGAGTGAGCTGGTGAGTGAGTGACTCACCATCGAAGCTGCCGGTGGAGCGAGCGAGTTCCAGCAGCTGTGCGTACGTGTCCAGCGAGTGAGTGAGTGAGTGAGCTGGGGAGTGAGTGAGCTGGTGAGTGAGTGACTCACCATCGAAGCTGCCGGTGGAGCGAGCGAGTTCCAGCAGCTGTGCGTACGTGTCCAGCGAGTGAGTGAGTGAGTGAGCTGGTGAGTGAGTGAGCTGGTGAGTGAGTGACTCACCATCGAAGCTGCCGGTGGAGCGAGCGAGTTCCAGCAGCTGTGCGTACGTGTCCAGCGAGTGAGTGAGTGAGCTGGTGAGTGAGTGAGCTGGTGAGTGAGTGACTCACCATCGAAGCTGCCGGTGGAGCGAGCGAGTTCCAGCAGCTGTGCGTACGTGTCCAGCGAGGGGCGGAACACGAAGAGGCCCGAGTTGAAGCAGTCCGGCCAACCGGGGTCGGGAGCCGCCGACAGCTCCTCGCGCTCAAAGAGGTCATCCAGCGGGGCCACGGCCTGGGGACACGGGGGGGAGACACGGGGGGGAGACACGGGGGGGGGGGGGGACATGGGGGAGACACGGGGGAGACACGGGGGGGGACATGGGGGAGACACGGGGGGAGACACGGGGGGGGACATGGGGGAGACACGGGGAGACACGGGGGGGGACATGGGGGAGACACGGGGAGACACGGGGAGACACGGGGGGAGACACGGGGGGAAACATGGGGGGACACGGGGGGGGACATGGGGGAGACACGGGGAGACACGGGGGGGGACACGGGGGGGGGGACACGGGGGGAGACACGGGGGAGACACGGGGAGACACGGGGGGAGACATGGGGGGGACACACGGGAGACACGGGGAGAGACACGGGGAGAGACACGGGGGGGACACGGGGGGGACACGGGGGGGACACGGGGGGAGACACGCGGGGGGAGACACGGGGAGAGACATGGGGGGGGACACGGGAGGAGACACGGGGAGAGACACACGGGGTCACACGGAGACAGACGGGGGGAGACACGGGGAGAGACACACGGGGTCACACGGAGACAGACGGGGGGAGACACGGGGAGAGACACACGGGGTCACAAGGGGGTTCTCTGTGTGACGAGTCGATGGGGCTCCCACAGGGTTCAGTGTGACTCACTGGGGGGGGCTCTGTGCCCCCCACTCTCACCAGGGTGTCTGTGTGCCCCCCACTCTCACCAGGGTGTCTGTGTGCCCCCCACTCTCACCAGGGTGTCTGTGTGCCCCCCACTCTCACCAGGGTGTCTGTGTGCCCCCCACTCTCACCAGGGTGTCTGTGTGCCCCCCACTCTCACCAGGGTGTCTGCGTCCATGAAGACGGCCTTGGTGTACTGGGTGAGCGCCCAGCAGTGGATCTTGGTGAGCGTCACCCCGAGCTCGGGGCGCTCCATCAGGGCCAGGTGGGCCGCGTCGCCAGAGTCCATCACGTCCACAGGCTGCACCAGGTCGTAGGCCACGCCCAGCGCAGAGCTGGGGGGGGGGGGGGTGAGGGGGGGGTGAGGGGGGGGGGTGAGAGGGGGAGGGGGGGTGAGAGGAGAGCAACGGATCTTTGTCTGTGTATAGGCTGAGGACCAGTTCAGATAATCGTCGCTGGTGGTGGTGTTGGTGGCCGTGTTGGAGGCCGTGAAAGGGAATCGAACTCGGGTCGCCAGGTTCGTAGTGTAGCGTAGCGCTACCCGCTACACTACCGACTACATTACCCACACCACACACCCACCCACACACACCTCACCCACACACCCACACACCCACCCACCCACACACCCACCCACCCGTCCACACACCCACCCACCCGTCCACACACCCACCCACCCGTCCACACACCCACCCACCCGTCCACACACCCACCCACACTCACCTACTCACCCACTCACCCACACTCACCCACTCACCCACCCACTCACCCACTCACCCACCCACTCACCCACCCACTCACCCACTCACCCACCCACTCACCCACTCACACCCACCCACCCATCCACTCACCCCCCTACCGGTAGGCTGCTGACACGTGTGGGGTGACCAGGATGACGAGCTGCCGCGTGGTGCCCTGCTGCCGTAGCGAGTGAGCCAGCACCAGCTACACTCACTCACTCACCCACCCACCCACTCACAACCACTCACCCACTCACACACACACTCACCCACCCACTCACCGGTAGGCTGCCGACACGTGTGGTGTGACCAGGATGACGAGTTGTCGCGTGGTGCCCTGCTGCCGTAGCGAGTGAGCCAGCACCAGCGCCCCCTTGGCGTAGGAGTCGTTGGTCGCCAGCGTCACAAACGCCTCGTCTGCGGGGGTCAACGGGAGGTCAACGGGGGGGTCAATGGGGGGTCAACGAAGGGTCAACGAGGGGTCAACCGGTCCACAATCTATGAAGATCAACGGGTCAACACCTGGTCGCCCACTCCTCGCCCTCCCGCAACAACAGCCGCCATTCGCTACGAAGTGACGGTGACGTCACCACGGCGCCTGTGCCAGGCTAGGTGCACCACTTTGAGGCTACCACGTTAAGTGTGGAAGGCTCCCTGCTGGCAGGAGGAGGTCACGGGACAGACCCAGCAGGTGCCATGGGTTGGCTGACCGAGATGGCCGGCAGATGCACACACACCAGCTGTAACCCCCCTACTGTGCCAGGCTAGGTGCAGGAGGTCACGGGACAGGCCCAGCAGGTGCCATGGGTTGACCGACTGAGATGACCACTGGTAGATGCACCACCAGCTGTACCCCCCTACTGTGCCAGCACGATTACACAAACACGCACGCACACACGCACGCACACACACACGCGCAGACACACGTACAAACACGCACGCAGACACGCACCTCAGACACATGCACGAAGACACACGCACAAACACGCACGCAGACACACACGCACAGACTCACACACATGTACAAACACGCACGCAGACACACGCACGCAGACACACACGTACAAACACGCATGCAGACACACGCACGCAGACACACGCACAGACTCACACACATGTACAAACACGCACGCAGACACACGCACACATGCACGAAGACACACACAAGACAAAGATCCCCCGTATAGCCTTAATGTACTGTTGGAGCAAGTGCTGTATTATGAGGTGTATCTCTGTGAGCCATGCGGCTCTTGACTCGGGTGCAACCGCAACAAACAAAAACAAGAAAACATCTTCAAGTGGCTAAACGCGCAAACAGAGAAATCCAGCAAAAAACAGCAAAGTCTTCCAGAAAAACGCACCGCGTTTCAACGCTGCGTGCAAACATCCCGGTGTGATGCAAGTCAAACAACAACAACAACCACAAGGCAATTTAGATTAAAGTTATCAGTCGAGCTCTGTGCTACTGTAATAAAGGTCGTGGAAGCGACTTCTGGAATCCAGTCTTTATTTGCCTTTCTTTTACAACACTCCTTCACACAGCTGACAGACAGCGTGAGAGGGATAGAGAAAGAGCCACGTGGCAGCCTGGACCACGTGGCAGCCTGGACCACGTGGGCAGCCTGGACCACGTGGCAGCCTGGACCACGTGGGCAGCCTGGACCACGTGGGCAGCCTGGACCACGTGGCAGCCTGGACCACGTGGCAGCCTGGACCACGTGGGCAGCCTGGACCACGTGGTGTAGCCTGGACCACGTGGTGTAGCCTGGACCCCGTGGTGTAGCCTGGACCCCACTCCCGCGTGGCCTCATCCTCCGTTCGTTCCAGATCTGACCACGTGTTGTCCGTCTCCACCCCTTTTAATACCCGGGTCACGTGGTACCTTTCCACCAATCCTGGTTAGCCTCTATGGAATCTTCCAGACTCCATCGTAGGCTCCCGGGACCACGCCCCTGACTCGTCCCCCCATTGGCTGTGGCTAAAGCCAGCAGAACCAATCATCTACTTGCAGCTGTCACCTTCCCATGACGTCAGGGCCACGCCCCTAGGCTTCTCCCCATTGGCTATGGGCCAGGACCGGCAGAGCCAATCATCGTACGAGGTGTGATCCAACAGCAACCCGGATATGTCCTCACATTACACTACAAACAAACAAACACGGCTAAACCAAAACGCCTCCGAAATCACCAAAATGAAGCTCTAAACACAACGTTAGTGAGCGAGCACCTACGAACGGCACGCACGGGGGTAGGAGGAGGAGGCCGGCACCACGCCCGCCCGGCCACCTTTGTCTCCCCAGCGGCGAAGTTCACCGCACAGCGCACCGGCTACTACCGCCACTTGAGGCCGACTCCGCACAGCTCCCAGGAGCCGGTGCCGACGCAAAAACGCGACATCGCCGCTCTCCGCCGGGCTCGTAGCCACCGCTCCCCCCCCCCCCAACTCGCCAGCGCCGCCACGCCACGTGGGAATTCCACATTCCCGTGCCGGGAGCTCACCTGTTGCGGCGGGTGGCGGCGGCATGATGCAGGCGGCGGTGGTGCAGTAGGAAAGCAGCGTGGAGAGAGGCCGCTTAGCGAAGAGTGGCAACCAGCCCATCGCTTCAGCCAGTGAACCACCAACCCCCCCACTCACCCAGTCACCCACCAAGCCCCCCACTCACCCAGTGAACCACCAACCCCCAACTCACCCAGTCACCCACCAAGCCCACTGCCACAATCATATAAGCAAACCGCAATAGGCCAACCCCTATGGGATATACCACCAATCCTATTAGCGACACCCTATTGCAAAATCCTACAAGCAAAGACACCAACAGCAGTCCTATTAGCGACACCCTATTGCAAAATCCTACAAGCAAAGATACCAACAGAAATCCTATTAGCGACACCCTATTGCAAAAATCATCGTCGCATTTAAGATGACAAAGCCACCATCACCAACATCACCACCAACCATCACAACACACAGACAAAGGTCCCCCGTATAGCCTCCAACAGGCTGCCGCTACTGCTGGGAGCGAGCGGGCCAAGTTCTTGCCACGACAGCAAGCTGGGTCGTCAACATTCACGATAATATTATATTATTATTAAAAATATATACAATGTGTGTTCGTCTAGCAGTTGTATAATTATTATATTATATACACACACAGAGCGAGAGAGAGAGAGAGGCAAGCAGCACACCACGTGGGCTCATGTGCACCCGCAATGCAGAGGGGTGGGCGACACCAAGTGCAAAGGGATGTCGTGGGGGGGTTTGAGAGTCTGGACCGTACCAACTCACACATCAACATTCACTGCCAACGGAGCGCCCGTCCGGCGGCTAAGAAACGAAGACGACCACCGCTTGACGAGGTGCCAAGGCAGCCCCCCCCCTCCCCCCCGCCTGTTGAGCTTGCCCATCAACGATGCGAGCAAACTCAACCACGTGGAGGCGTCACGTGTCTACAGACTCAGAGAGAGCCGGAGAGACCCACAGAGACCCACCCACAGAGACCCACAGAGACCCATATAAACCCACAGAGACCCACACAGACCCATATAAACCCACAGAGACCCACAGAAACCCACAGAAACCCACAGAGACCCACAGAGACCCATATAAACCCACAAAGACCCACAGAGACCTATATAAACCCACAGAGACCCACAGAGACCCATATAAACCCACAGAAACCCATATAAACCCACAAAGACCCATAGAGTACCATAGAGACCCACAGAGACCCACAGAGACCCATATAAACCCACAGAGACCCATAAAGACCCACAGAAACCCATATAAACCCACAGAGACCCATATAAACCCACAGAGACCCATAGAGTATTATAGAGACCCAAAGAGACCTACAGAGACCCATATAAACCCACAGAGACCCACAGAGACCCATATAAACCGACACAGACCTATACATACCCACAGAGACCCACAGAGACCCATATAAACCCACAAAGACCCACAGAGACCTATATAAACCCACAGAGACCCACAGAGACCCATATAAACCCACAGAAACCCATATAAACCCACAAAGACCCATAGAGTACCATAGAGACCCACAGAGACCCACAGAGACCCATATAACCCCACAGAGACCCATAAAGACCCACAGAAACCCATATAAACCCACAGAGACCCATATAAACCCACAGAGACCCATAGAGTATTATAGAGACCCAAAGAGACCTACAGAGACCCATATAAACCCACAGAGACCCACAGAGACCCATATAAACCGACACAGACCTATACATACCCACAGAGACCCACAGAGACCCACAGAGACCCCACAGAGACCCACAAAGACCCACAGAGACCCACAAAGACCCCACAGAGACCCACAGAGACCCCACAGAGACCCCACAGAGACCCCACAGAGACCCCACAGAGACCCCACAGAGACCCCACAGAGACCCCACAGAGACCCACAAAGACCCCACAGAGACCCCACAGAGACCCCACAGAGACCCACAGAGACCCCACAGAGACCACACAGAAACCCACAGAGACCCACAGAGACCCACACTACTTTTCAGAAGCGACCTGCCCAACACAAACGAGAGCCCAACACACATTGGCCGACATCGTCATCACCACTCAGTCACATAGTCACTACAAGACGTTTTCTTGTTCATGTTTTTGTTTTTTGTTTGTTGCGGTTGCACCCGATTCAAGAGCCGAATGGCTCACAGGGCTACACCTAATACATGAACTTGAACTTGAACCACGAGAACATTCAGAGTAGCAGCCGAAGGCTCCCGAGACGTGGTGCTGATGGCGACGGCGAAATGCACAGCAGCAGCAGCAGGCGTCGTCAGGGTCGGGATCGAACCCACGACCTCCTGCGTACCAGGCGAGGTAGTCAACATCTCATAGCCACCGTGATGATGATGATGATGAGAGAGACACAGACTCCAAATACACAGCAGGCGTCGTCAGGGTCGGGATCGAACCGACGACCTCCTGCGTACCAGGCGAGGTAGTAAACATCTCCTAGCAACTGTGATGATGATGATGATGAGACACGCAGACTTCAAATATACAGCAGCAGCAGGCGTCGTCAGGGTCGGGATCGAACCGACGACCTCCTGTAGACCAGGCGATGTAGTTAACATCTCCTAGCCACCGTGATGATGATGATGAGAGAGAAACGCAGACTCAAAATATACAGCAGCAGCAGGCGTCGTCAGGGGTTGGGATGGAACCCACGAACCCACGACCTCCTGCGTACCAGGCGAGGTAGTCAACATCTCCCAGCCACCGCGAGCTCACAGTCTAAATGGAGCTCTTGAATATCTGGGAGACTATTCACGGCTGCTATCGAGTAACGGGGGGGGGGGGGGGGGGGGGGGGGGGGGCAAATCCCCTTCGCAGAAGACGCAGCGGCAATGGCAGCCGAAAATAACCACGTGCAG